AAACTTGGTTGAAAAGTGAGTTTTGTAGACGTCAACAGTAACATATAATCATTGTTTTCAAAGGATTTCAATGATTACCTTTCGACATGTAATTAGGAGGTGCTTCACAATGAATTATAGTCATTTAAATGCCGTTAAAGTTAAAGTTAAAGTTGCTAGTTACTTACTCCTTAAAACAAGTAATAATATTACTTTACTTATTACTGTGTATTAAAAATAACTAGTTACGTTAATCCATTACGTTACTAAATTACTTTCATTAACCGTCACCAGCTAACCACCATCACCAAAAAGTGATGTCACCGGTTGAATTATACATATAAAGCCAATTCTGACTATTGAACTATTCTGTTATTCTGCACATTTATAAGTGTGTTTACAAAGCATACTTTCACACTACATTCTCTCCTGGCTAGTGCATACATCATTGGCAGTAGTGGTCGGAGTTTCTTTCTACTTTCTTTCTACTTTTCTTTCTACTAGTTTCACGTTGCTGTGATTCAATAAATTAGATGTAGAATTGTTTGGTGTTTAAAGCTTTTTCCTGGTCACACAAAGTTTGCAACAGACAACAATGTTCTTTGCATCTTAGAATGTGACACATAATGGCAATATTTACAGCTGTCGAAAAAACGCCTCGGGCAGTCGTGCATTCACGTCAAGGACAACAAAACAGTGTTCTGGTAACGATGTTTTGTTGTTGTTGTTTTGTTGGTGTAACGCAGTGTTACTTGGATTAGTAACTGTAATTATATTACTGAGTAACGCGTTACTGCCCAACACTGTTGGTCACTGACAGTAAGCAGAATAACTAGGCTAACTATTGAAGCTCAATAATTTTTTGGTACTGACCAAAATGTCTCCAGAAAGCAAGTACCGAAAGCTGGCATCAAGTGTTTGCTACGGTTCACACTTTTCTATACGTTCTCTTTGATCAAACAATATTTGATTTAATTATTAATTTAAGGTTAAACCTGCATTGGGGAACTTTTGTCTCCCCTTCTGGCAGTTAGGGTGACTACTCAAACACCATTGATGCATGCTCATGATGTATGCCAACAGAAATAAAAAGACATTTCTACGCTTTCAAGACAATAATCTATTATTTAGGTAGAGTAAATGTTATAGCTACACAGCCTACTCCAAATATTTTATGACAACAGTAACGTGACACCATTTCTGCCCTCAGTACCTTCTTTTCTCTCTTGCTGTCTAACAAAGAAAAGCTACACCAATGGTTATATGTGTTTGTCCACCGTTGATCGCTTTCTTTTTTCTTTTCTTTTTTTTCTGTAATCCTTCCTCTGAACCCAGAGTTACTTTTTTATCTGGAGCATCAGAAACCTTTCTTGGATGCAGGCTCTGTCATACTCCTAGTTGCTATAGCTGACTCCAGAGCCTTGTAGAGAGAGAGAGAGAGAGAGAGAGAGAGAGAGAGAGAGAGTTTAGGTCATCTCCATTCAATTTTAATTCAAGTGGATTTATTGGCATGACTGCATACACTATAATGTTGCCAAAGCATTTTAACACAAACTACACAATCATACTAAACAAAATAAACAATAAATTATTCTCAATAATAAAAACAATAAAAACCTTCTCTCCATTAGACCTTTTTATTTGCAGCAATGGCTGATCGTGGCGCTCTCTAAGTGGCTCTGGTATGCTCTCCATTCAGCTCTGGCAAATCAATCATTGCTGGTTGATGTGCAGCACATAACTACTGGTGCACCAGCACAGGAATGTATCCACAGAGATTTAAAAACTGTGGTATACGGCGAAATACAGAGAGATTTACCTGGCGGTCATAGGCTTAATCAACATTGTATGAACTTGTTTGGAAAGGGCTTCCATGTAACAGACTTTCATTTATATGGAAAAGCCCTGCACTACAGCTTTAAGACTTTGTTAATTTGGCCAAAGTGCATGCATGGCTGTTTATGTTTAGGAAACATGTAACATTAAATAGAAAGGGGAAAGAGAGAAAGAGAAACTCATTCTCAAAGTAAGGTATGGTAAAAAAAAAAATTTTTAACTTGCACAACACAAACCAGTCAAATATAATCTGAGATTGGTTCTGTACAATAAATGAATTTGCTGACAGCTTCTTAATGGGAAGCTAAGAACCCCTGATATCTTCACTTATGCTGATGACATACATGTGTATATAGACATTACAAGGAGCAATCTGAAAGGGACAGGAAAAACAGATGATTGGCACAAAAAAACACCAATATTATCCTAAAGCCCACACAGCAGTCCAGTCCAGCATCTGTCTCTTTTCCTTATTTGTCCTGCTCATCCAGAAAGAGACCCACTGGGAAATGAACAGCAAGCAGGTTGAGGCCCCTGATGGAGCCTCAGACTGGTGTGTCGACACTCTGGGGGTGAAAAGATTACAGCTGCTCCATCTGATGTCTGTCCTCTCTGTGTGCTCAGAGAGGAGCTGGAGGAGCTGTGAAACTCTCTCCTTTGTTGTTGTGTTGTCGGCCATGTGTTTTGTGTTATGCCAGGTGTCCTCCCTATTTGACAGCCAACTAAAAATTCTCCACATATCCACCAAGCATCTGAAGCTCATCAGTAAAGTGTGCACTGAAACGGAAAAGCCTTCTGCCTGTGTAATAGTTTATACCCTTACAAAGTGTTTTGGTATCATGTCAGCGCAGCAGATTTGTAAACACTGTCAATGTGTTTGGTTTGGAGCAGCAAATTGGAGCAGCAAATTTGAGCAGCAGCGCTTTGATTACTGTGAACTGATGAACTGATATGATTGCTTTATTGTGGAAGCATGCATGATCTGACACTTCAAACATGTCAGGAGTTATGAATGATTCAGAAATGCAATCATTTATCATGGCTGTATTCCCAGAGAGCACTTCTCTGCTTACAGTTGAACCAGTGGCGAGGGAAGACTTTGGTAACTACTGATGTTTCATACACAGCTGTGTTTGTAAGCCATGTCCGTGCTTAGTAACTGGCTCCACACGCAGAGCTGGAGCTGGGCTCTTTAAAGACAAATGGCTTTCAGGCTTATACACTTCTTAATACATTTTAAGGAGCCCATTGGGGCATTTTACATGATTTGGACATCCCTAACCCATCAGCCATGCTTTGGGGCGCTAAAAGCTTAGGTCATTCTCAAGTATTGGTACAATACATAAGCACAATACTCCACAAAGATGTTTTTCTCCTTTTTCCACAAGTTTTGTTCTCTATATCTCCTCCTTTGTTAAAAAACAAATCTGCACATAATAACCTGCTTGCTTTGAAGATTTTGGTGAAAAATCACAAAAGGTCAGGAATGGTTGATTTTGTTCATGTGAAAATGTAATTTGATGACATTTATAGACTTTTTACATTGTCATTCTTGGGGACACATGTTCGAAGTAGAGCTGGGCGCTAGGGCCAAGATGAGTGGGGGTTATAACCACCAGTAAGCCTACAGCATTTAACAATGCATAAATTAGTTTAGCAGCTAGCAGACTTTTCCTTGACTCATAGCTTAACAAATTAAATTATTTATACTTTCTTACTCACCTGGTTAAGCCACTGCATCTCCCGACAGAACATAATGGTTTAATTTAAAACAATCTTGATACCAATTCCTTAGACTATTTTTTTATTTCTAAAATACCTCAAACCTAGTTGGGCATTTCTGTACTGCAATTTCTTGTTACTTATCGGCCGACATATATACCAATGTATATGTAATAATATCGGCCAATACAGGTCCTGGCTGATTGGTAATTTTTGGAAACAGTGCAGCTTTAGGCAGAAGAAGTTAAGTGGGTCTGTAGTTTGGTCTGTGAGGCCGTGATGTCATTTGAGTTGACAAACAATCAAAACCTTGGAAGCATTACATTCAAAACTCAGTTTTTGCATTACTTGCCCATGCTATTTACGGTAAATCTCATGTTCTGTCAGGTTGGTTGGGCGCTGAGGAGAAGACTGAGTGTTTAACTGAAGTCTAATACTCGGTGGTCATTAACAGTCCCTTCACACCCATAACAACGAGTCAAGTTGTTAACTTTGGCATCTAAACTCCCGTTGAGACCCTGACGAGTCAATCAGCGCTGCATTTTTGTTATGCAGTTTAACTAAATGTGTTGTGAAATCTTTGGCACTAAATGGTCCCTGCTCTTTACAGGTTGATGAATAATGATTGTGTGATTGACTGGCTTTCAGAGGGTGCACTCTTTGTGTCGTTGAATAAGAGCCATTCCTTCATTTTGCAAATGAGAAGTGAGTTTTCATTCCAGGTACATGAAAATCAGAACCCCACACACACAACACACACACACACACACACACACACACACACACACACACTCACACTATGCAACCGCAACCTTTCCACATACACACACAGACACACACTTCCTAAATTTAAATGAAATGCAGCTGTGTTCCCGTCAGCACAGTGGATCTCACCACTCATCTGTCATGACAGATATCATCGGAAAGAAATATTCCACAAGTGTCCCAGCTAGCTAAGGCCTTTTAGTTTGACTCCAAAGTCAACTGACACAGCAAGAAGAGAACTGAAAGGTGCAGATTCACAAAGAGGAGCTATTTTAATTGTTTTTATTTTTTGCACAAAAGTACATTACATATGGTTTAATGGTTTACTTTCAGAGCTTATTGTGTAATACTCAAGTGTGGTTATGCTTAACTGAGACATCGACTGAAAAAAGAGGAAGTTTGCTGAGTGAAGGCTGAGTTCAGGAAAATAAGCATGTCGCATGTGTAAACAAGTCGGTGGGGGGGATTGTTTATGTGTCCCCTGCCCCTTCACCACCCGGGCCCTACGGGAACTGCTGGACCCTTTAATGTAGACTCCAGGGCTGTTTGTCCAGATGTGGGACTCCTGGACATGGAGAGTCCCTAGCTAACACCAATTCTGCCCATGTGTCCTTTTTAGACCTTACTGCTCCAGAAGAATGTGCAATAGGCAGAATAACGTATTCAATCATGTCGTATTCTTCATTCTTTTTACACAGGGATCCAGGAGGGCACTCAGTGCACTAAGTGTAAGAATGAATGGGCGCTGAAGACATCCATAGCTCTGCTCTATGTGCTGTGTACTCTCCTCACCATTGCGGTTGCTGTGCTTGGATATAAAGGTAAGACGAAGCTCCCTTGAGTCCAGTAAGCTACACTCTTCTGTCATTGTGACCTGATGGGTACAATTATAGGGGCCAACGATGACAAACATTTCTAAACATCACTTCAATGATGCAGTGTGTTTTCTAAAATGTTAAAATGATTTGCTTACAGAGTGCTGAGAGAGCGGGCGTCCAAACATATCATTTGGTTTCTCTTTGTGCTGCCAAGAAATAAGAGCATTGCTGTTTGAGTGTCTGAGCACACTGAGACCTCGTGTTTTGTTTGTGTTAGGGAGAGAAGGAGTTCTACATCACAAGAGTGGCCTTCTGTGCAGCCGAGCATGACACAAATGTTCTCTGGCAATGTTTCTTTGTCATTATTTAAAGGCAATAGATTGGTAATGGAAAATATAAGAAGAGGACTACCACACCTGTAAGAAAACATTTCTCTCAGAAGTCACTTCTACATACAGATAATGGGTCAGTTTAGGCTGTTTAAAGACTCACATACTCTATCTGTCCATTAAATACAAAGCTTGTTAGCTTAGCTTAGCATAAATACTTGAAGTAGAGGGAAGAGCTAGCCTTGTTCCAGCAGAAGGTAACAAAATTAGCCTACCAGAACCGCTAAAGCCCACTAATTAACATCTTGTTTGTTTAACATCAACCAGTAACCTCATGGCAACAACAAGACTCCAGGAAGTTACAACGTCTAGCACATTTTTCCCGTAAAACCATAAACTTGTCATATTAACATTGATTTTGTTGTCTGATCCCATTGTTATGGCATTATTTGTCCAAGTTCTGAGACATCCGTTTCTGACAGTTCTGCTGCTGCACCAGTACCAGAGTTGAATGGATGTATGTTTGCGTTGTACAGAGCACTGAAAAATTATATTTAAAGAATTCATCTACAGCATGTCTTTCTGCAAAGTCCTCATTACTTATCATAGACCTCAGTGTCAACAGCTTTCCTAGGGTTGAATGCTGTGAGCTCCACATGTTTAGTTCATTCACCTCCATTGCACTGAGGTGGAGTATGTTCATTTGGGTGAACAGATACTTTAAGGTTCAACCATGTTCTTCAGCCCCTCCGTTTCCACCCCACAACTTTCTCAGTTTATTTTACCAACACCCCCCAAAGCGCACAGATCCAAGGAGGGTCTTCAGGCTTAGTGAAAGTAAAATTCCTGGTAGGCTTTTCCACATTTTCTTCCAGGTCGGGAAACGGTCTCCCAACGTCTTTCGGAGAATTGAACTCTGAATGTTCCTGCCATAATTGTACTAAACACTCCCATATGAGACTGTGTTTTCCCCCTGTTTGTATGAAGTTAAAATGTTCTGGGGTTATCTGTGTGGCTCATGTACGTTAACGATGATGTCCTCTAACACTCTGAGCTCAGTCGGTCCTACTTATTCCATGGTGCATGTTTTCATGCGGGCCTAATTGATCCCAGATGAGCAGTGAGTGAACTCAGTGCAACTCCAGCAGAACCCACTGAAATTGGGTTTTTACTGGCACCGAAGCACTGCTCTGTCAAGGGAACCACAGCTCAGCCTAAACACTCTCCCAGCTCCAGATGGTTATGTAGTGAGACCCAGAGTGCTCTATGCACTTAACGTATGTGCTGCTCTGTCCTCTATCATTGACCCACAGAGACGTCCACTATGTGACTCATTTGTTTTGATGCAATTTAACCGTAGAAGTTTGGCAGGAATTCAGTGACCTCCTGTCTTTTCCCCTACAGCCTGTTGTCTTGATTGACACGACCAAAAGCAATGTGAAGTCATTCTCTGGTTTCTGGGGGATTTAAATCGTATTCATTTTCCTCAAAGATAGTAAGAAAAGCAACCAGGGGAGTACATAACCTGTGTGTTTTATCTCACTCCCTGTGTGAATGTCTCTTTACTTTCAAAGAACAACTGGTTTAAATACGCAAAAAGTGTTGTAGGAGCAAAACATCCTGCACAATTATAATTTCAAAAATAATTTCTGTAGATATTTTAAAGACAGCTAAAGAGCGAGCGAGCTATGTCTGGATCCAGGAGGAGCCTTGTATTTAACAAGATTAGAACCGAAATATCAAATATTATTAATGTTAAATCCAGTCTCAGTTGAGTCAAGAGCAATACAACTCCCCTTGGTCAAAAGATGTTGTCCTTCAGATCTGGTGTTGGCATTGCGTGTGTTCACACGTTGTATGCTGCCACTGTATCTCACTGGGTGAGCTCAGTTAACTATGCTGTGTAAGTCTTCATCAGTCTACGAAACTTCTTCATTACACCTGAACCTGGCTCACAGACAGTGGAAGTTATGCCCTTACCTTGATAGAGGTAGAGAATACAGTTAGTTTACTTTTCTAGAGTTTTGAACAAGGAGACATTTTAGCACAATGCTCAGTAGAGAAAACCAGTACTATAAAAAACATGGCCTGGGAGATTATCTGTAGATGCATGTGCACTTAAATTGCATATTTGCCCTTATTTAACAGTTTATTTGAGATGCTTGCCCTGAGGCTTCTAGAAATGATAAAATAACCAAAGCATGGAGTTTACAGTTCACTTACTTTATACCTAGATTTACTATTCCTGACTTTATATGTATAAGGGAGTTGGATTTTACAAGACAACCTGGACAGTTTTAAAGAACCACCCACCACCCAAGAGCTGGAAAGAGTTCAAACTGGGTACAAAACTGCTCATTTTTACAACATTTGGACCTAGAAGGGTTTTGCCAAAATAATGCTCTGCATCCCTGTTGCAGTTTTGTGTTTTATGGTTAATGTTGCCACAGTGTGATGCAGTAAGTCTCTCTGGGGGCTAGTCCATGGTCAGAGCATGTGGAAAAGGCCCAGATATGTCTGTATATGGTGACTCTGCTTGTGTTAGTTTCAGTTTCCAGGCTAGTGCATGTATAAGTGTTAGTATAAGAAACAGTGTGCCATAGGTGTGGCCTGTGGTCAAAGTGTCTTTTGTGCTCTGCGATGCTAAACTGTAACTTCTGTGTCTGGAAATGTTTCCCATTTAGTTTGAAGTGTGGGACAATTACTGTCAACTGACCATTTTCTCTTAACTAAAAAATAATGTGGTAATTTTATAGCTTCATATAGTTTTAAATGCGTTTATTTGTTCCATGAGACAATGCGGTGCATTTCTGGGACGTCTAACAGGGTGAAGAAAGGAGACAAAAAACAGTTTTGACCATATTGGTTAAACATTCATTTTCCAATTTGAAGTTTCCCCAAACATCTCACTGTCAATTACTCAAGAAGCTGTTTTTCCAAAACAGTAAAAGATATTTTGCATTTGTAGTTTGAAACAAAAGAGACTAAAGAATATTTTTCTTTTGCTTTTGAAGTCTTAAATTCAAATCGAATTGTTTGACATTTTGCAAATTACGCGTATTTGCTTTCTTTGAGAGAGTTAGGTGAGACTGGAAACAGGGTTAACCAGGCTCTGTCTGAACAAAACAAAATGAGACATTTCAATCTTCTCCTCCAACTCTCAGCAAGAAAGTGAAAATTAGCCAAAATGTCCAAGTTTTGCTTTAAGTTAAGTAATACCAATATATAGTAGTGGCTAGCTATTATACCACTACAATTAGGCCACTATTGGTGCTAAGCATACCATTAATGAAAGGCGTTACCTGTGCCCTGATTTGGTGGGATGGGTGGATTTAAACCAGCTAATCCTGTCTTTCTGATGATTTGACCTCTGGAGGTGAAAGCCTTGTGATTGAACTGTTGTCTTAACTGTTGGAGCAAACAGCTGGGATGCAGCTTCCCAGCAGAGGAGCCCGTCCAGTTCCCAGTTAAAGGAAGTGTCCCCCTGGCGAGGCTGGTGGTAGAAGTGGGCTGATATCCTGGAATCCCAGACACATTCCAGAGGAAATGAACACTGGTGTCTCCTGTGGGGGCGTGAAGCGCCTCCATGCCACAGCATCTGTCTCCTCTGGGCTGTCTTTGATCCGCCTGTTTACTGAAGACCCCCTCCTGGTCACTTCCTGTCCCCTAGGGCCATTGCCAGTGTCTCCCCATGCACTTCCAATGGCAGTTTCTGTCACTGACCACCCACTCCATCTTTGCTGAATCAATGTTTCTTCCTCCCTCCTTTTGTCTCTTTCGCAATACCTAACCTTTTCTGCCTTTCCCCCTAAATTAACTTGCACTCCCAGCATCCGCTTTTGCCTCTGTCACACTCTAAATCTGGCCTAAACCAAGAGATTACATTAATCAAGTCCATCATTATTTCATGCCTTAAAGACATGCAGACACATCTCTTATATTATCTGTGAGTACATTTCATTGGTTTCCTCTCTGATCCCTTTTATATACGATGTCTGTGGTTGCAGGCATTTCTTGTCTGTTATTTAAGGACGGAGCCTGTGATGACACTAACCTTTGTCCTACCTGTCCTGTTTTTCTTTCAGTGGTGCAAAGAGTTGACAGTGTGTCTGAGGGTATTGCAAACTATGGAGGAAAGATAATTGCTGTTGAGACTGATTTGAAAAAGCTAGGTAAGTCTGATGTATCTGGCTTTAAATTGAAGTAAAAGCTACAGTGAGAGGCTGAAACATTCTTGTAATTTATTGTACAAATCTCCGGCTTCAGATGATCAAGCAGGGGAGAAATTGGAGAATACCACCACAGAGATCCAGTCTTTCAAGAACAACATCTGGAGTCTCCAGAGGCAGCTGTCTGCGGTGGAGGAACGCATCCACAGCGATCAAGTTAAGCTGAGTCAGCTGCAGAACATTGGTTCAGACATCCAGAACAGCCAGGGCTCCATTCAGGGACTGCTGGACGGCAACACGGCCACCTTGCACTCTGTAAACGGCACCCTACGATCTTATGGCAGCATCATTGAGGGCCTGCAGGACGACACAGCCAGGCTGCAGAGAGAACTCCAGCAGCAGGTGAAACTTCAGGACCAGGCACTGCTCAGTATCAGCAGCCTTAACTTCACCCAGGCCCAGCAGAGAGGCCTCATTGCCGTTCTGCAGCGCTCAGTGGATGACACAAGCCAAGCCATCCAGAAAATGCGTAATGACTTTCAGAGCCTCGAGCAGACGGCCCGACAGACACGCTCTGATACTGAGTGGCTTCGTAGTAAGGTGGAAAACCTGCAGGTCCTGGCCAGTAATGTCTCAGCTCTTGCAAAGGCCAACAATGACAGCCTGGAAGAGGTGGGATCACAGCTCACTTTTATGGCCAACAAGCTCCAGAACACCAGCAGCCTGGCAGACGCTCACGACCAGACGCTGAGGGAGATTTTGGACCAGCAGAGGGACTTTGGTAACCTCACATCCACCAAGTTTGACCGGCTGGAGGTGCGGCTGGATGAGTCGGAGCAGAGTATAGACCGCGTTACCGGCAACATCAGCTTCACCACACAGCTCTTGGGGGCCATCAACCTTAACCTGAACGAGTTACGCACTTGTTCCGAGACTGTCGACCGTCACTCAGACTTCCTACTGAACCTCAACGGCAGCATGACAGAGATGAGGACAGATGCAGCCAGTCTAAAGTCCCAGCAGGAAGAGCTGGCAGCACGTGTGGACAAGGAGGTCACCAACCTCTCTATTGTCATGGAGGAGATGAAGCTGGTGGACACTAAGCACTCACAACTAATAACCAACTTCACTATTTTACAAGGTGATTGGTGTATCAGTATGTGTTGAACTAATCAAATGTTTGTTTAAATGTTAAAGGAATTGCTTGGGATTTGGAGTAAATACACTTGTTTGCTTTCTTGCGTAGAGCTAGATGAGAAGATCGATATCACTCTCATATTTGTAAACTAAATATAAAATAACAGCCAGCAGCTGGTTAGCATAGCTTAGCAAAAAGGCTGGAAATGTGGGCGGGGGTTCTGTCTTAAGGGAACCAAATATACATGCCAGCATTTGTAAAACTCATTATTAACATGTTATATCTACAAAAACTGAAGTATAAATATCTAAAGTTGTAGTTTTTTTCTGGGGTTACGTGCCATACGACTACTAGCTGTAGCTTCACATTAATCCTACTGACATGAGAGTGGTATCAATACCCTCATCTATCTCACATCAAGAACAGCAAAAAAAAGCTGTTTTCCTAGAATGTGTCAATATTCTTTTAAAAAAATACTTTCAGCTTAAAGTATGTCTTGTTTTTCAGGTCCCCCTGGTCCCAGAGGGCCACGAGGGGACAAAGGACCTCAGGGAGTATCTGGTCTGCCTGGCCAGAAGGGAGAAAAGGGGGAAAAGGGTGCTCCTGGGATACAAGGATCTCGAGGAGAGCAGGGTATCCCAGGACCACCAGGTCTGCCAGGGTTTAAAGGCCTGCCAGGCCTACCTGGCAGCCCCGGGTCCAAGGGCTCCCGAGGGTCAGGAGGGAGGGCCGGACCTCCTGGAGGTAAAGGAGAGCCCGGTACTGCTGGTCTGCCTGGAAGAGACGGACAGCCTGGTCCTCAGGGGGCACAGGGACCACCTGGTATTAGAGGCTCAATGGGACCAGCTGGGGAGCAGGGGCCAAGGGGCCTGCCAGGGCCAGTGGGGCCTCCAGGGCCAGCAGGACCACCGGGACAGCCAGGGATGCCAATCCGTGTTCCAGTCATTCCTTTTGGCCCTGTGTCTCTGCAGGATGAGGCAGTGGCTCCTACACTATGGGCCCCAGGTATGACTTTAGTTATTAAGTCTTATCAGTTTTAACTTTTTAACACTTTACTAGAATGCGTTTATTAAGTCCTGAACTAATGAAGTAAATCAGCAGACTAGTTAACAGGCTTGATCAAAAGAAATGTTCAGGTTTACTAGAATATTCCCACAATGGCAACTGTTTTATCGGTCCAGAAAGATAATACTGTATTACTCAGATTAAAGGTGTGTTAAAAGAATAGTTCAAAAGTTTGGAGGTATTAGTGAGCTTTAAAGGTGCTGTCTGGAGTTTTGTTACCTTTGAACAGAACTAAGCTAGCTGTTTCCCTCTGTTTCCAGCCTTTGTGATAAGTTAAGCTAACTGGGTGTAGCTTCAGATTTTTTTTAAGTTGTGCGAAATACACTTATATGCTTTCTTGCTGAGAATTAAATGAGAAGATTGATGCCAGTGTTTTGTCTGTACGGTAAAAATGAAGTTAGAGCTAGCAGCTGGTTATCTTAGCTTAGCATAAAGATGAAAAAGTAGTCTATTAGCCTATATTTGGTTTGTTTAATCCAAAAAGAAATAGTTGTAAATTTAACAAGATGTTGTTTTAGTTGAGATTATGTGAAATGGAAGGCAGATTTTGTTACCATCGGATGAAGCCAGGCTAGCTTTTTCCCAGTTTCCAGTCTTGATGCTAAGCTAAGATAACCGAGTGCTGGCTCTTGCTTCATATATACTGTACAAATATGACAGTGGTATCAATATTCTCATCTGTTTCTTGGCAAGTAAGAAAATAAGTAAAGTAATGTAAATTATTTTATAATGAATGTTTATGAGATATGACAATCGAGCACCACTGATAATAACAATATGGTACTTTCGGATTTATTAAATGAAATCACTGGATGTTTTACAGGATGCCCCATTGACTGGGTAAACTACAGAGACAAGTGCTACTTTTTCTCCAAAGACCTGCGCAGTTTTGATGATGCAAAGGCAACCTGTGAATCATCGTCTGCATCATTGTTGATCATCAACGATATGGAGGAACAGGTGACTAATTGTGATTGTGTTTTTCATACTTGAAGAATGAATCCACTAAAATCTGAGAGATGTATTGAGAGGAAAGTTTGTCATTGCCCTGTAATTGTGAGGTAGCTTCTTAATTGTGACTGTCCTCATATAACCTCAGATATGGCTGAAGGAGCGGACCACTGGAAAGGGCTACTTCTGGATGGGTCTGACTGACGGAGGGAAGGAGAACGTTTGGCGCTGGCTGGACGGGACTGAACCTGCATTCACGTCAGTATTCAGTTAGAAAATATCTCTAGTGTAGGGAACATCTAGTCCCGTGTGAAAGTAGGTGCTGTTCCTCAGATGGATACCATTTCCAGGGTAGGATTTTCAGTTACATGAAACTACACCAAACAAACACGCAACGTCTTGTGAAAAACTTTTCTGATATTTTATAATTGCTTTGATCTGCCTGGAAAACTCTACTCCTCTATCCCTGCTGCCCAGCCAAACAAAACACTTTCACATTCAATAAGCCTTTATGGATTCAAGGTGGTCCAATCAGAGCAGTCCGTTTTGCATTAAGAGCAAGAATCCAACATGTGGAAAGTAGAAGTTTAAAAAACAACATTAAGGATAAGGATATAATTATGATATGAAGCACACAGCGTTTCATAAAATCTGAACACAGCAAAATGGGACAAATACCTAGTCAGCTTAAAAGATCTATAACGTGGTCTCAATTAAACATTTAAAATCTCTCAGAAGAAATCAGATAATTTCACTTTTATTCTTGCTACAGTTATTCCTCTTTTATTCTCTCTTCCACTGCTGTGGGTTTCCACTAGACTCCTTGATGAAATACTGTAAATCTAATGTATGATCGCCCCCTGTTGTGTCCCTACAGAAAGTGGAAGCCTGGTCAGCCTGACAACTGGGGCCATGGGCATGAATTGGGAGAAGACTGTGCGGGGCTCATCCATGAAGGGTTGTGGAATGATTTCTTCTGTGAAGATCTCATAAGCTATATCTGTGAGAAGGACATGGAGACGCGTATGTCTATTTCTGTTTTCTTCCTACTCAACAAGTATCTTGTAAGTTTGGTGTCCACAGGTGAATTAATGTCATTCTACATCTTTTTCTGCAGCAAGATCACCTGGATTGTAGCGGTCTTGAAAGGGAGCTTGCAGTGAGCAGCTAGACTTCCCCCATGTGACACTGGTCCAGTGACTCAGCACATGGAGAGTCCGTACAGAGAGAGCAAGGGGACAATTTTGATATGAGCCCAGGGCCAACAGCAAACGTCTCTCTGACACTGAAGAGATGCCTTTCTCCTCCAAAGTGAACCCAGTCCAGCTTTACCAGCAAGTGCAATACAGCAGGCCAATCAATGGAGGACTTTTATTTTTTAAAGTACTAAATTAAAGTAAAAGTACCAATTGATTTTTATATATATATATATTTTTGTTTGTTTGTTTTGTTTTTTGTTTTTTTTATTGGCTATTTGAAATACATTTTATAGAACTGTATTCCATGTGCAACTGAATATATGAATGTATATTTCATTATGCAAGTTTTTGTTGGACATTATCAATTCTATGAAGCCAAGTGGACTTACCGTAGTGCTTTTAATAATAATTGTCTTAAAATGCAAAATGATGTGCAAAAAACAATGTCGCTGATATGCTATCTTCGAGGAACCTGTTATCTAACCTCACGAATGTCTTTGTACCATTTTCATTTAAATGAATAGAAACAAATAAACTATTTACACATAAATACAGGAAAATGTCACAGCTTGAGTTTCACGTTTACAGTTTAATACTCCACGTATACATTTTGTGATAATGAGATTTATTTTTCACTTCTAAAGACGTGCATATGTTTATGAATATGAATCTGGATCCTACTTACAAATATAAATGCGCCATTTTCTGCACTAAGGTACTGTTTCCTGTTAAGAAAAAACACTTGAGTTTAAACAACAGTATGGAAAGATGAAGAAAACACTCATAAATAAATATGTAAAACCCACGAGATATTTGTATTTGTTGGCTTATTTCTACGTTTTATTGCAGATCCAGATGAACAGCTATAGTATCAGATCGCTCATCTGTCTGCAGTGTGAGGGTCATCACAAAATTCTCCACAGTATCGTAAAATTTAGTTTATTGATTTTGCACAAGACGTTATTTCACATTTCTATTGTTTGTTCTTGAAAAATAACTTTTCCAGTGATTTGACATTGACTTTTATTGCTTTTCTCCTCTCCCTGATTATAAGCAAAAATGTTTTGACTTTCTTAGATCACCATGGACTATGCAGTTCATTGACTAACATTTCCTCTCAATCATTTAACATCTTCAGCTGCACAGAAGATTGAAATGATGTCACAGTAGCACCTTTAGTAGGAGGGAATCTAACTACTTTTCTATGAACATGAGATTCTTTATGTTAAAAAACAAACACAACAGCGACTGAAGACTGTCAGTGCACACACAATTTTGAATTGTAGCCTATAGAAAGAGCTACTAACTTCTTGACTCAATTTTCTTTAAGATGCACTCTTGTAAATTAATTTGACATAGTAAACATCAAAGCAACATAAAAGAATACAGGAGCTGAGCCACACAGACAAAATGTTAAGTTTGAGCTGTGCTTGCTCTAAGTGACACAGTAGGTGAATATATCAGCTTTAAGAAATATGCTCATTATTAGCCGCTCATTTCACATTGCATCATTTACACAAAAGGTAAAACATACATACACAAAAGAAGCAGCATATTGTCTAAATGTAGATTTATTGTTGAGGTATGATAGAACTATGAATATTCTCTCTTTTGAAACTCATTTTGTTACACTCACACTGTGTCAGTATAAAATCACTTTACTGGAATAAACATAATAAAACTGCCAATCGGGTAGGTTATTGGACAACTGGGGAGACATAACTTACAGTCTTCCTCCCGTGTTTCAATTGACATTTCCCTGGAAGCCTCTCATTTGCCTCTTTCTCCTTCAGACAGGAGTGTGCAGTGTTGTGGCTCTGCTGTGGCTCGGTGCAACATGGTGAAGTAAGCTGGTGGGTGAATAAAGAACTCTGTGCTGAGACACAACATCAGGCTTCTTCGTCGGCTCCAGCAACACTGGGACTGTAAACATGATTCCAATCTTACCACTTGGATAGGAATTAATTCTATAAAGAACTACTTAGGGTCTGTTATTATTGCTCAGTCCTGATGAACTCCTTTTCTTTCTGATTATCACTGACTGTCGCTCTCGTCAGACAGGATGTCATCTGTGCGGCTCTTCCGGTCCCGTGCAATGAAGAATGTAACGGCCGATGGTTTATGTAACAGCTAAAGATGAGGTGGAGACGAATTGGGGGAGGTTAGGGTGATGTGGAGGCAGGCTGGCTCAAATGAAGGCATGAGGCGGTGGCTTGTCTAGTCGTCCTTCTCCACTATGACCTCCCCGTGAAGCACCCTTCTTCTCTGCCGCAGCATGTGGAAGTAGAGCTGAGGAAACACTGGGAAAAATATACAGGATCAATCACTGAGTTAATACTTTTCTAATTACTGTTCTGTATGTTACAGTGATTTGGCAGGAAAAGTCTCCAACTAGCTCCGGCAGGTGATTCATTACTATGATAATCTTAAACATTGTAAGGTCTCGGTTAGAAGAAACTTCAAGCTTTAAAATAAAATTAAAACATGTCAAAAAGTTCAAACTTCATATTTTGTATGTTATGTACAACACGTCTGCAATTCAATACAATATCTCAGTTATAGCATCTTTTAACTAACAACATTTTTTCATTATCAGCTTCTTTAAAGTAGCATTTTCTGCATGGATGTTTTGTTGTACAAGATCATTCTGTTGGTGTTATGCTGTCACCCCCTTTCACTTGGTGCAGTTATTCTATATGTAGCATTTTAACATCAGTCAATTAATACAAAATTATGTTTGTTAAAGTGGGGCGTCTGCTGGATTGCTTTATAGCATAGAAAACAAAGATCTTCAACATTTAAAGGAGAAGGTTGATCGTGTCTGTAGGCTAAATATAAAGCTAGAGCTAGCCTAGCAGTGACTTCCTGGAGTCTTGCCGTCACCCTGAGGTTGTCAGACAACCAACTGAGACTCCGCAAAGTCCCAGCTCCTGTCTTAAAAACTGTCCAGCCATTAAACCACAACTTGATGTTTTTGCCCTTCAGTTTGAGATTATTATTTTGACAACTCACACTTGACTGACATCAGCTTCGCATCAAGTCCTGCCCCCTATTCCGCCTCTGATTGGCTAACCCTAACCATAACCAACTTATTTCACAGAGGCAACAAATACTAGCCAATCAGAGGAAGAGTTGTCAAAAACCTGGTGGGGAAAAATAATGCAATTAAAGGAAACAAGACATAACATGGACAGAGCCATGCTAGCTGTTTCCTCCTGCGTCCACTCTTTATGCTAAGCTATGCTAACTATCGCTTGGCTCCAGCATCATCTTTAATGTACAGATGTAAAAGTGTGGTATCAAGCTTCTCATCTAACTCGGCAAGAAAAACAACACAGGTTTCAAGTCTTTAAGAGCAACAGAGCAAAACTAGGGTTTAAAGGTCATTTGGGATATGACCCTCCAAAATGTTGCCTTACTTTCAGAACCTTGACCCTTGATGTCATGATACTTAAAGAGACAAGAAACGCCATCTCTTAAGCCTCATGTAGTAAAAGATGCACAGTTGAATCCTCACCAGAAAGTCTTTCTGTTGTGACCACATTAAAAATTTGGCAACACTGAGCAGACTCCTACTATTACAGTCAGTGTTATTATCTACTAGCTCACTTGTCATGTTAATAGTCATCACAAAAGGCCATAAGCATCATAGTCTGACCAGCGATCTCAACAAGGGACACAAGGTACAACGATGGTAAACAGGTTGTGGGGTCATCCTCCTCTACATGTTTTATCATAAAGCGCAACGTACGACTGAAAATGCTCCTTACGTGGGATGTAGGACAACATGACGACGATGAGGCAGTAGTAGTAGTCGAACGACACGTTATAGATGTTGGGCAGCCTCATGGAGTACATTCCAGATCTGCGTACGAACGGCAGAGCAGCATAAATGGTCAGCAGTTCCCCAACGACACCCAGGGGGTACAAGACGATGAAGAGGTTGTATCTGGGGAGAAAAAAGATGGTGAAGGATGGTTTAACAGTCAGCGGTGTGGACCTGCAACAAACACACCTGCAGTTAAAGGTTTGCGGATGTTAAAACACTAACATGCGCAAATGTCCAAACACAGAAAAGACATTCGACACACGCAAGACTGTAAAAAATGCAACCTTTCAAGGCTGAGTTTAATAAATGCATGCTGCCTAAAATCTTTGATTTCCAATATGCTTCAACTTCAAGACCCCTGACATACACTAAGCATAAGCAACCATCCATGGGGTGTACAACAGCCAAAGGGACAACACTGATCAGGAATTGGTGCTGATCAGCAGCCAGCCTTCAGTCATGGTTACTGGAGATTATCACCACCAGAAAACTGGAAAAAGGAAAGTAATTTCACCAATGGGGAGTCAAGAGAAAGAAGTGGTTCAGATACACCACTACAGTACTTTTTTGTGTTGTTTTTACATTAAAGCACCCAACTGGAGCAAAGCAGACGGTCAAGAAGGATCTCCAGTGCTAACGATGGATAGTGAATAAAGCTTGGACAGGGAGCTGGGGATACCCAGTGAAAAAGCATTTGATATGGCAGATGGTGTATTGGGCAAAGTTGCCGGATCAGGTTGTGGCTGCAATTTGGGCTTCCGACAACTGAATCACTGCCCTCAATGTTTGACAATAGATACATTTTTGATTGAGTTTTATGACAAGGCTTACAAAAATCAGTAGGTAGGAATGATTTAGCAGAAAGCAAGTTGTTTGCTGTGCAGGTGTTGTTTGCTGGTTTTACTTTTATAACTTGTTAAAAAAAAAATGTCATGAAATCATCTAAAATTCAGAGCTGAGAACAGAGCTGTTCTTCATAAAATGATTCACAAACTGTCACTTTCTTCTTTTTGCTATAACTGCCTGTCACTTCACAAAAGTGTGAGATGTCCTGCCTCCCTTCGTGACATGGTCTCTCTAGTGCAATATATATGCCGTGACTCAGGGCTGCAGAGTCCCTTAGTCAAGACCAGAGCGAAGGCTCGGGGGAGCGTCTCAGTGGATGTGAGAGAAATGTTGGGTGAACATTCCATGACCAAAACAGATGGTCTTAAAAACATGAGCAGCTGAACATGAGCCTCTCTCCCGGAGGCCAGGCGTCTCCTCCGTGCTTAAAGAAAGACGTGAAGCGTGGAGGGGGCAGGGAGGAGAGTGGCATTCAATGCATGAGAATCAAACACCCAAAACAAAAGAGTAATTGGCACAAACTAAATTGTGTCCTGACAATCATATAAGACACCAAAGACGAAGATAAAATGTATATTTTGCTGGTGAACCTCTGTCTGCGTTAACCCAGAGACAGAGCGATGTCTCACCTTGTAAGTTAGATGATGTAATGTGTAAACTTCACTGTTCTCAAGCAAGATAGGCTTGTCTGGGCTGTAAGTTGCCAAGCCTGTGTGTTGGAAAGCTATCAATGTGTACAGCAATGACGTTCCACCAGACGACTCCGATTTCAGCTGAGCTACTGTAGCAGAGAGACACGCAAGCCAGACCGCCACGTCACAAGTAGTCTTCATACAGTAGGAGGCAGGGATTATGTCACTCTTAAACTCAAAAATGTGTTGATCATCTCGTCTTACTGTCATGACAAGTCATTACTGTCATGTCTTTTTTGTCCATGTGCTAATAATGAAGGCTTTGGATTTCAAAACGATACTTTTTTGAATGCTAATATCAGAAATGTTTTTGTTTTTTTCATATAATATAATGCAGACTTATGTTAGGAAAAACGGGTGCCATTATAATCCAACTTTTTTTTTGATAAAACATCTAAATAAACCTTAAAATGATTAAATGTCTTTAGTAACTTCTGCATGATCTGTATTGTCAGAGCACAATGTTAATAGTTAGTGCCGCCACCATTGACAGAGACTGGCTAATGAGGTGCTAATCAATAAACACACACATGCTTCTCCTCTCTGTGTGAGCCAGGCGATACTTAATACACACACACGGCTGCACTACTTCCTGACTTAAAGCCGGTCTAGGCCTGGGGAGCGATGCATGCCAGAGTTGAAATTAGGGTCATCAGATTAGGGTGATATGCTCAAACACAATGTCTGACACAGTAATGACAATTCAAGCTCATCCTGGCCGTGGGGTAACGGTATCTCCACCTGGCCCATTTGATGAAGTACGGCAGGTGGTGGAGCAGGTTGAATGTGTAGTAAGAATATCTGGTTATCTCTGTCACCGTCCACACAACAAGGAATAGGATTACGCTCTCTTCACTCTGGACCTTCATTTAAGTAAAAAAAATAGAAATAAGGCAAATATATAGAGGAAGGGAAATGAGTTTACATGAGTCAAACCTGACATGTGCTTCTCTTACAGGTAACAAGTTCTGGTGTGTGCAAATGTGTAAAAGCATAGATGTCACAATAAAGCACTGAGGTTCTAACAGATGCTAAAATAGTCTAAATTGAATTAAAACCTCTGAATAAAATAATAATTCTTCATTTTCTCACATAGACGGAAAAGAAAACAGCAAAGGTAAACCGCTTTTTATTTGCTTGTTTAACTCAATTTAAACCCATAGAAGCAGCAGAGTCTGTGTTGTGTGTGCTGTGACAGTCACCTGTCTGATGCTGTTGGTGACGAACCAAACCATGAAAATCCGTGAACACACTTGAACCCCGGTTACAATCACAGAAGTCCTCACGATCCCTGCAGCAGGGCACGAGGAGAGAAAAAAACACAATAGTTTATAGCTGCACATCTTGGCACGTTTGTTTGCATTTGAACATAAATCATAAACAAACATCATCACATACCGATGGCACAGTGTCCCAACTGTAAGACAAGATAGGTAAAAATCTGTTAATTCCCCTCATCTGTAGTAAAAGCAGCTAGGCTACATCAGCAACACCTTTTTAAAATCCCTCCCTATTTTCTCATTATTTCATCAGGTATCACTGTGCAGTAATGCGAGTGACAACTATTTTACTAAAATTCTTACCTCAACTAATGCAAAGGTCTGGAAAAACTTGAGTGTCCTTGCTATACTTCTGTACAGACCCTTGTGTGTGCCTTTCTGAATGTAGAAGCGCATCATCGCCATAGCCAAAACCAGCCACCTGCAGACATAAAACCAGGGAATATTACATAATGCCGCCATTCAGTGGGAACAGTTAGACTCAGGATCTGAACCTCACCAATAAAACGGCGTGCCGATATTGTTGGCCGTTATTGGAAGATAAATCGGTATTGGTGTTTGTAACAACCGAAAAATGACAAATAAAAAAAGAAACGGAGAGACCGATCCTTCAATCATGTTATGAGTGTTGTTGTTGCATAGTTTGTCTACCGGAGGGCAATCTGCAACTCCACTTTTGCAACACATGTATTTGGATAAAGCTGACATCAGCTGTACTTTTGTTCAAATTACTATTTATAACAATAAAAAACGTATATTTATAAACTGCATTATGACATGTTATATTGGTGAGGTCTCTTAACTACACATAACAAATATTAGGGATAACCTTTGTTTATGTTATGTGTTTCTGAAAAGCAGGGGACTAAAAGAATATCGGAAAATCAGATTTTAAAATCCTCAAATATCAAAATCGGTATCGGTCTTAAAAATCCTATATCAGCCGGGCTTTAGTGAGGATGCTGAAAGAGAGAACAGGCCGTGTGGGATGGATGGTGTAAGAGTTAATACATTCCTGTACCCCAGTATTACAAGAGAATCTGGAAAGTGAAAATAATGTTATTCAGCTATGCATGTACTTCTAACAGCTCAGCTAAATTCACTTTCATTCTCAATTTTCTACATATATTATTGCATCAGTTAGGAAACTAAAGAGCAGGAGAGACCAGATATTCTGTGCAGTACACCGTTTTTTTTCCTCAAGTCCAAGTTTTAACATCAACACCAACTGAGGACATTTTCAGTGAACAGATTATCTGGCTGCTCCTGCGCTTCCTCATTGTGCAAATCAACAAAGTGTGCAAGTTATGTGACAGTAACTACTTACTGGTGACGATAAACTTGATCAAATATGAATAGGATGATTGCATTTACAAAAAACTATGGGTAAAGTTATGAGATTGCGAGACACACAGAGATTATTTCAACTTGACATTTGAACAGTGTGTCTTTACACAGAAGATTTACATATATCACAATAGAACGTAAAGAGCACGGTTCCTTACTTGTTACTTGCACAAACTGTATTGACATTTTAACAGTGCAACTTTTACAGCTACTATATAATAGATCAGTATATTAACACTTTGCATCCATTTTGAACAATTCCAGATTTCAGCGGTTTCAGGTTTAACAAAGGTTCTTTATTCTTCTAAACTTTCTTTACAACTATCCTTTATGACAAACAGCAGCCAAAATAAGCCAAAATCTGTATATTACTTCACTTAGACTTGAAAAAGTAAAGAGGTTGCCTGCTCCTGAACTCTTACAGGTGACATATTACAGGTGTAAAACATCCTCACACTGCCTGTTCTGAATCTGACTCAGCAACAAACAAACAAACAGTCAAACAGGTGGAGACTCCTTTACAACAGACTACAGCCATGAAAGATTATCTTACCGAGCTGTTAACATGATCGATGGTATTAACAACTTAGTGGGTAAAATGGATGATTTGGATATAGGGCTGATTATTCTCATCATTGATTAATCTGCTGATGTTCAGTTAAAATAATTAAAATAATTCAAAATTCATATAGAAAAGGAGAAAATTTAAAAGTGTGGCATTTTTGCTTTAAACAATATCTAATGAATGAACTGAGTAATTGGATAAGCTGCTTTACTTTTGGGTTTCCCTGAGGCAAAATGCTAATTGTATTCATAACCTGTATGTGTATTGTGTAAAGTATTAAAGTAACAGTTGATGTCAGCGTGAACACTACATTAGAGTGCATTTTACAGTAATGGGAGGTCAAACTGAAGACAGAATCTTCAGGCTCTGCAGGTATTTTGAAATCACTGCTGTAATAATCAGACTTGCTTTTATAATTAACTTAAACAACACAGCTGCATTCTGAATAACAAGGTGTGACATATGATAAACACTAAATACTGCATAGTGCTACCTGTATAGTGTGTTGCTAAAGGAATGGGCCATTCTGTATAATGAGTACTTTTTGTTCTTTAAGCATATTTTGATTACAATAGACTACTTTTATTTAGCCTAAGTGAAAATGATGAATAAATTCAGGAATTTTATTGTAACAGAGTACCAGTATATCTACAATGTATTGATACTTTTGAAACTTACTGATCTGACAGCTCTGTTATATTTTCATAACTGTGTAATGAGCAGACATATTCCCATCTGTTTTTGCCAGTTTATCATCTGAACACGGTATTAAGTCGACTGGTAACGGCGCGCTCTGTTTGCAATACATAAATGTTATGTTGTTATTAAAAAATCTGCACATTGAGCATTTCAGTGTCCCAGACCTGATCTCCAGTGTCAGCGCGCTCCGGCTATACTTATCACTGCAACTGTCTGTAGCAGTGTGGGCCTTGACGCTGACACCATGCAGTCAGCCCTATTTGGACACGGGTGCAGCGCCAGCCTGTCACTTTCACCAAACGCCATTCATTCATTATAACACTCAGATAAATACCGCTTACGTTTTTTACAATCAAATTCATCCCTCAGGTTTTTTCCCAACTCCGGTGAGCCGCTAAATACAACGAGCTGAGCAGGCACTTTCGACTTTACACAGAGACACAGTCCTATAAACAGCAACACGGGCTTACAGTTTTAAGGAGCGGCTAACTTATAGGCTTTTCTTATTAATAGGCGGCCGGGGCGCAATTACGCACGTACCCGGCGGTCATGGCGATGTTGTAGAAAGTGAGCCATGCGGTAGCGAGGGCGCTTTTCGTTCTCTTCTTGTTGTTGTTTTCCTTCTCTTCAACCGTGCCGTCCTCCTCGGTGGACGCCATGGTACCGGGGGCAGGGTGGGGAAGTCAGGAAGGGAGCTGACAGCTGGGCTGGTAGGGAGGGGAGCAGCAGGGCCATCCATCTATCCGCCCCCGGCTCCCCCTCTCTCGCGGGACTAGTGCGTGGCCTGCCGGTGGGTCAAAAGTCTGAGTACAATACAATTCAATACAATTAAGATTATTAGGCTACGATTAGCCTATAATATCTAATTAAAATTTGCATTTGCATAACAAGCATGAGTATCTTTCAAAAATATTGTGTTTGTGATAGATTAAACAACCCAAAAGTAGTAAATGCGCTTGAATAGGCCTACAAGCACAGCTGGTGATTAACTGGTTGGTCACTTGACAGAAAATATTTGGCAACTATTTTGATAAAGTTCCAGCTTCTCAAATATGATTATTTGCTTCTTTTCCTTTCAGTTCATTGAATTTATTTTTAATAATTTTGAATTGTTGTTATGGACAAAACAGGCATTGAGAAATTGTCATATTGGGCTCTGGGTAATTGACTGTAATGAATTTATCACAGTTTATTTTACAAACCAAACAATTAAAATTGATTAATGGAAAAAGTAATCAGCAGATTAATCCAAAATAAAAATTAACCATGGTTACAGCTACAAAGCATGAACTATTCATGTTCTATGGAAAATTAATTTGCATCAGCTCATAGCCTAAATGGCTGGAAATACTTGCATGATGGCAAAATGTTGGTGAACTTTGTTGTTTGTCTGTTGGCCATGATAATGTTGACTTTGAGGGAAATGAAGCAGGGACAATCAATCCGCTGTCGTAGTTAGCTCTAAACTGATCTCCAAAAGAGGAATGATCCTACAGCTCTCAGACACAAGTCAATGGTCTTTTGACTAAGATAGCTAACTCTGTAGGCAAGTAGTTAGCAAGCTTGTTAGCTTATTCCCTCCTCTTCATTGAATGAAATTATACAATCACAAGAATAAAATGCCAAGAGGATGTTATGCTTTGTCGCCAAGCATCTTGAACCAAACATTTTGTGAATCTGCACAGATGAATTACGCTGTGCCACTTTTTGGCAAAGTGTAGTAAAGGGCAAAGGTCAGCCTGGTGAATACAACAGTTTGACTCCCATGTAACAGCAACGAGTGTTGACATTTTAATCAAATACTCACATCAACTTTAAAATAAAAATGTGACAATATTGCCTTCATCATAGTTGCTACACAGTAATAATGGTCAAACCTGTATATACATATCTTCAGGTGTTAGTCTGGCTCTCATGGAGGCACTGCCTGAGAAAGATGAAGCAGTGTTTTTAAACCACTGATATTCTAGCATTTGTTATTTGTGCAGCTTCTGTCAGCATCACATTACGCCATTAGATGGCGATGTACAAACATGAGAAGTTTTCTGTGGCTTCATGTGTCTTCGGTATACAGCCGCCAGCCCTTGGATGTTGCTTTTACTGTGGGTGTTATGAGTCCACTTCTGTTTTCTGGTTTTGAAGAATTATCAGGTAGAATATGCGGTTAAAGTGATGTTAAGCTACATGTATTTAGATGCTCAGAATAATGGATGTCATCTTTTATGCATAGCTGGTTGATGGAAGAACAGTTTTCAAGGTTCATCATCCCACAGAGAGACCTGCAGTACATACATATCCTTCAGGGTGCAGAGTTAGACAATCTTTGTTTGTATTCTGTATATAAAGAGAGTAAAGGGGCAGTCACATCACCGTCACACCAAGGTACACAATGCCTAGTGCAGTGTAAGCAGTTGGGTGAGCAGAGAGCCAGGGCTGTGGTGTGTGGAAAATGCTAGTGGAGGCAGACAATGCACTGGGCCGAGGCCTGACCAGCCCTCAGAGAGACTGGGGTCGCCTCACTGCGACAACAGCCCCCGTCTCCCTCCCTTCCTTTTCTTTTTTTGAGCTGCCGCAGCATGGGCTCTGGGAGGACGCTGAAGTTTGCCGTGTGCGAGGTGCTGCAGTTTGCAGGCCTGTGCGTGCCACTCTTCATCGTCATGCAGAGGTTCGCCGTCATCGTAGCAAAGGTCAAAACCTCGACGCAGCCGCCCGGTGACGGCAGTACGGCCTACTGGTTGATCGTGGCCTCCTCCATTGCCTATGTCACCTCCACCGCCCTGCTGGTCTGGGTACCCCTGAAATACATGGTTTTCGTGAAGAAGAAGTTTCTCACTGGGAGGAAGAAGTGGTGAGTTTCTCCTGCCTTTGCCCTGAGGACAGGCATCTGGGGAACCAGATATGTAGGTCAAACTCAACTCTTAGCTGTGTATCCCAGAGTAACACTGACTGAGACCTGACCAGCTGGTTTGACTCTGAACAGGCCTGTAGCTGGTTTGGATTGCTCTTGGCTGGTGAATCCCATATCTTAGCAAGTCCTGCAGCTGCCTTTCTTACTTTTTTTATGTCTTTCCCTTCCTTTGTCTTTGTATCAGGAGGCCTGTGGCCCTCGTATATGTGATCCTGTCCACATTACCCTGCTTTGCCTTTCTCATCGCCAGCTCTGAGGTACAACATGTTGTGGATTGTTTCATTTATCACTTTAACTGTACTCTGATCATGAATTTTGACCTTTATGTTGCCATATTTGTAGGAGTCAGTCTGTAATTGTAGAACCGCTGTAGTTATTTTGGATGATTGTGTTTATCATCCAAAGAAGCACTAAAATACTTGCCACAACATTACATTTGGGACCAAAATGAATCTGTAGGTGAGTGGAATCACAATGTGAGGCTTCTGTGAGTGGAATAAAGGTGATGATTTGTGAGGAACCTTTTGGTTCTCTGGGGAGGAACATCCAGCCTTATGGATAAGAAACTACTGATAAGCAGCTTGGTTCCTCTTCCTGTCCAAGCTGCCCTTGTCAAATCATCTGTCCATGAGGCACATTTTCACTTCCTCGCTGGCAGAAACCCAGGTCCTATTTGCTGTTTTATGTGGCCCTTTTTAGAGCCCAAGCTGACATTTTGGCCCTTGCTTATCTAGTGTCTTTCACATAAGAGCCATAAATTCTGCTAAGATGACCAACTTGTCTGCTTTGCTCTGTGTCCTGTTGGTATGAAGTCCTGACTCAGGCAAATACCAGAGCTGCAAGTGATTTAGCCCACAAACACAGTATTAGAGAGAGTATTAGATGTAAAGGCTTGGTGCAATGGTCCATTATTGTTGAGGTAAATTGATATGTTATATATTAATTAGCTGTGAGTGAGTAAACACATTAAATGTTCTGGTAAAAAAAAATATGTTCAACAGATTTTCTGGTTCTTTGCTTAGGTTCAGATAAATAACAACATGAAACATGATACATTCACGGAGCTCCCTGTGTCACTAGTGCTCTTCTCTCTCATCTGTATTGACATTGTGGAGAGGATGCGCCACTGCAGACTGACCGGCCATGGTGAGCGCAGCTCTCTGAACACATTACACAAATCACTCACTGAGTGCTTTAGATCCTGAACTTTCTCTAGTGATACCAGCTCGCAGGAGCTCAGAGGCAACAAATGCAGTCCACATATCGTTTATCCAGAACAATTTAGAGACCCAGCTTGAACTTTTTATCTTCTGGCTCTGTGCCCGCAGTTGAAAGATATTGGTGCAACTGAGGAAATGAGTAGGAAATATTTTAGCCACTTCTTATAACACAGTGCTGAATTGACAAATTTTCAGTAGTACTTGAAAAAAACAATTCTTTGAGATTGTTTAACGTCAGCTGTATTATGACATTTCGGCTCCAACAGCAGACTAATGGTTGCAATTTTTGGATCACAACATCTGATGGTTGCATCTCTCTATTTAACTTCAACCAACACCACGTTATGATCAGCAAGTGTAATCTCAGATTTGCTTTGCTCTGTATCAGTGGTTCTCAAAGTGGGGTTGAGGGACCCCCAGGGGTCCTTGAGGAGGTTCCAGGGGGTCCCCAGCTAAAGGGGGAATAATTTATTTTCACTATAATTCCATCCAAAAGTAATATAGTGACTGAACGCATGACTATTTCTGTCATGGATTTCATACACTTTCTGGAATAAAACATCTAAAAACCAAATCAAATGGGCGATCCTGGGACAAAATCTTATCAAATGGGGGTCCGTGGTCTACTTTGTGTCAGTTTAGGGGTCTTTGACATGAAAAAGTTTGAGAACCACTGCTCTGTATAATCTTGTTTGACTGTATTGCTGTTCAATTATTTTCTCCCCCCACAGCTAATGACATGGAGAGAGATGCTGACATCCCCTCCACTGTTCTCACACATGTGGAACAAGTAACACCAGTGACACCTGTCTCTCCAGCTGTGCCGGGGCCAGCTGTGCCGGGGCCAGCTATGCCCGGGGTCAGCTGTGCCCGGGCTGTGCCTAATCCTATGCCACCAGGGCCAAACCAACTCAATGACAGGAACCAGAATGGAGCAGGGGTTCGACCAGAGACCAACGGTACAGTGCCAGGGATACCAGGAAATCCTGGGAGACCGTTTAGTATCTCTGGATTGAGCTCACGATCAGCGAGCACCACAGCGTACCGCATACCTCCGTACGCCTACACGGGTCCACTGAGATTCCTTTGTGCCAGCGACGCCCGAGCGGACGTGTTTGTGGACAGCTTTATGTTCTGGATGGATACAGTGGAGATGGTGAGGGTGGCAGGACATCCCCTGGTCTACTACTCAGGCTGGGTTTTCCCCATATATATCTTCAGTTACCTGTCTTGCCTGCGTGTGGTGGTTATGCCCCACAGCCCCCTGCTTTCCTCACTAGGAGTGGCTGTGCAGGACTTACCCTTCTTCTTTGTGCGTGTTGGCCTCATTGCCTTCTTCGGCTTTGTCACACCCATCCTCTATCTGATGAAGAACCTGTTGGTCTGTCTGGCCTTTGTCTATTTCAACTTTATGACCAAGCTGAGGGTCTTTAACACTGAGAGGATGTTCTTTTGAGACCGGCACCTCAAGCAAAAATAAGTGCAACATTAAAACATAAAATAGGAGCAATAGATTGGCACAATCAGAAGCAGTAGGATGCTAGGATTCAGAGGCGGTTGCATCTGCTCTTCTTAAATTCAAACTTGGCCTAGTACTAAGTGGAGATTCATTAAATTTAGAGATTTTTTACTATATTTTTACACCCAGTAACATCCAAGGGTGTAACTGTTAGAAAGCTGAACTAGCTAACTGACATACTGTATATAACGTTAATTTGGATGATGATTTTTTTTTTTTACAGTAAGATTAAGTTAATGTGGTCAGCATGTTTGAAGTGACACGTGATAGAAGGCTGATTTTAATTACAAATAAATAACACAATATACCTCAAATTACAAAATGTTGTCCTAACAGCTGACTAAATAACCAAATAGTGTCAGTTAGGTTAGCATAATCAGATGTTTCCGACTTGTTCTAAAACACTGCATGAACACTATACAGGATGTCTCCATGCATGCATCTTTAAATAAAACAAAGTCAGCCCCCCTAAAACTGTTATTTCTGGCAGTTCATGTTACAGCTTGTGCTGAAACAGTGACTTGTTTTCTGTAGGGCAGTGCAACAGATGTTTCTTAGTCACCAATACATTACTAAAGTCATTTCTAGCTAAGACATTTCTTAAGTTAGTGGTGCAACCTGATTTGATAAATCACTAGTTTGAAACTAGTTAGTAGTTACTGTGAAGAACTTTATGCACAAACTTGATTTAGGGTACTAGTTACGACATAAATGTTTACTAGAGATTTATGCATTTTCTTAAAATGCTAATTAAAATTCTTATGTGTGATTAGTTGTTAATAAATATTCACACCCAGTAACTGCCAGGTGTAACAGTTGCATCTAACTGAACCAACTGACAAAGGTTGCGTCATTGTTGGCTAGCTAATATATGACCTGTATAGAGTGAGTAAATAAGGTCATAAGAAATAATATTAATAATAAATACTAAGAATAATGAAATTGAGATGTTTTGAACAATTTATACATTTATTTTAATGGTCCAACCTGGTTTAGTAAGTCTAGCTAAGAATGTAGGAAGAACTTTAGGCACAATCTTAGTAATGGATTTAAGAAAAGCTGGTGCAACCAAACCAAAGTATGAATGCATCACAGAAGAAATATTGTGTTAAAATGCATGAAGGTACTTTTCACAGGCCAAAAGGGAGCTCTTAGACAATGTTTTCCCACAAAGGACATTATGTGTTAAATGACTGTTGTGTTATGTATTATTACCTTTATGTTCAAACATACTTTTTTACCCCTCCTACCCCCTAACCTTTACTAAGCATGGCACTTTGGGAATGTACCTGTAATGTCACTTGAGATTTTATTTTCTACCATCATAAAGTGCAGTGAATGTGTAAAAGCATAAATACATGTTGTTTATATTAGGTTTTTCATTGCTAAAGTGTATTCACGAAAGAAAAACAAAGTGTGAGTTTGTAACATTGAGACATATATTTTGGTAAGATTAATAAAGAAAATCATTCAAATATATGTTTTAAATTTCACTTTTTCATTTCATTTATCGTGCGTGCAGAATGTACTGACATGAACTTGAAAGTACATATGTATGTTTTTGACCTCGATTCAATCTTATTACATTGGAATTTTTCCTATTTTTTCTTCACAATCACTCCCCAAGAGGACAGGTTTCCTGTCGTTATTCTGCAAAACATTTTCATCACATCCCTTCCCATAATCCTTCATGGTCCAGAGCACAAGAGCAATGACAGTTGGAAGACATAATGTCAATACACATGGACACTCTGATGCAATTCAACAGCCCTCCAAAAAAACATTAAATTGTACAGGTTTTCCTGATATTTTATCCACATTCCAGTAAATGACAATTATGTTGTACCAAGGACTTTGGTTTTACCGGCCCTTGTTATGTTCAACATTATCAGATTACAGCATTACATTGCATTTATGCCTTTTGTAAGAAGATCACTTAATTCATTCACTTTAAATGAAGTCTATTTTCACAAATCTGTGGATCCTTAATCCACTAGATTGTCTTTATTATTGTGTGATTGGAATTCAGACTGATTCATAGTTCTGTATAATGTATACATTATAATATATATTCTGCTGTCTCAAGTCTTACATTTTTTACTGGCCCATTTCCTTCAACCCAGTGTCCAGCCTGTAGCAGGCAGTAAAAAACATATACACTATATACTACCTTTCCAGCACCAAAAGACCGAAACACAAAGTTTGCGACTAGCTGAACATGGCTGAGAATTTGTCAGCCAGATATTTCCTTTAGGAGTTGGTGGAAACCAAAACCTCCAAAAACTCCAAATGAAAGCTAATGTTGCTCGGTATTTACTGGGTGTGTAAAGAGAAATTAGTTTGCTTGTAATGTTGACATCATAATATGTCAAAATGTCTAAATGTACAATCCAGCCTGACGAAAGCCGAGAGACAAAATTAATGCATTCCAACTAAAAATGAAAAGATGCAACAAATGTTCACTTTTGTTAAAATGTGATAAATTATACATGGCGAGTGAGCAATTGATTGTTGATTTTTGAAGGACATTTGCATCATATTAATTGTAGGGCTTTAAAATTTTTTAAGTGAGTCGGACTTTTCACCACAGAGTTATGGGCATTTAATGCCCCCTGTGCAGGATTTGAAATGTCTGAAATGTTTGTCTGCTCCTTATTTGTCTGTGCACTGGGCATCCCTGCAGTATGAAACCTAAGTGGTCAGATCTCCACTTGCTTCCCCCAATAGGAAGCAGGATTTCCTCCTGTTCCCTCTTTCTACAGACCTGTACCATCACTGCACTCCTCACCAGAATGTCTCGTAGACCTCCTATAGGGGCCACTATCCCACAAAACTCTCACATCAGTAAAGTGCTACAAACCTCATTTAAATCTCGTTTACCCAGTGCTTTAATTATGACACTGATACATTCCTGATCAGGTGTGAGTTTTTCTAAATCTTCTGAAACTTCTTCAAAGTCTGACTTGCTGAATGACATCTGCTTTCTGGGTTCATTATCCAGGCACGGATTTAGCACAGATCGAAGGGCTATTTATAATAGATCAAAGTCTCTCAGATAAAGGCAATATATTGAAGTCTGTTTGGATGATTTATATTCATAAAATGCATTATACAGGTCCTGTTTTTCCTTTGATTGATTAAAAATAGAACTATTGTCCTACCTTTAAGAGTTTTCTTGAAGCTATAATTGGGGACTTTCTTGTTTGATAGTGAGATGAGATTACTTGCTTTCCATTTCCTGGCTTCCTGTCCTCTGCCAAAAGTTCTGTGGAAGCACATGGAAATTGCTGTCGTTTGACCAACCTTAGCTGTACATGTGACAGGATATCCATCGGTGTGATTAAGGGGGGAGAGCACCAAGTCTCTGTGTCATTGTTGCTCTATGTCATACACCATAGCACACACCAGACCTCTTCTCTCATGACTGGAAAACTCTCCTACAACCTCATCCACCACTGAGTGCAAACTACACACTAAGGATAATGTTACCCTGTGTGAAGTTTGCAGTGGTCCTCTGTCTCCTGCAAGTCCTCTGCATTACTGCTGACATAGGTACGTACCCCCATTTATTTGTCTATTCAGCTTGGAGTCAAATGATCGGATCGTAACTGAATTTGAAATTGTCATATGAGACGTGCTGTTGAAGCTGTTCCGTCCTGCTCCAGACAGTGGCTCCTTCCTGATCTTCAACGAGAACCACAACAAGTGCATAAAGGTGGAGAGTGCCACCTCATTGACGGTGGCCCCCTGTGATCCCCATGCCAAAGAGCAGCAGTTTCGTTGGGCCTCTGAATCGCGCATCCTCAGTCTGTCCCTCAAACTCTGTCTGGGGGCCACAGAGATTAAAGACTGGGTGAAGGTGGTCCTCTTTGAATGTGACGAGAATAGTGACCTCCAACATTGGCAGTGCAAGAATGAGACCCTCTTTGGCCTTAAAGACCAGGACCTGCACTTAAACTGGGGCAACCGCAATGAGAGGAACATAATGATCTACAAAGGCTCAGGGCTCTGGAGTCGGTGGAGGATATTTGGCACCCGCGGCGACCTTTGTTCGAAGGGGTATCAAGGTAGGAATTGTGGTGACTTTGTTAATAAAGAAAAGGCTCCAATAGTTTACTGTTGAATCTAATTTATGCTGCAGTTTTTTAGAAAGGTTGAACGGTGGTTTCTGAAAGTCCTGCAATAGTGTTTGCTGTGCAGAATCTTCCCATGCTGGAGATTGTTGTAAGGTATTGATTTTTTCATGTAAAGAAAAAATAATTTTTTGATGAGTAATATATTCAGCAGATTGTGATGTCTTAGATTCAGTTTGACTCCTAATAGCTTTTATTCTTGATTTTCTGGCAGTAAAAAAAATAGACATAATCAAATCAAGGCCAAATCAAAAAGAATTAGATTACATTATAATATCTGTAGACTCCTGAAATTTTATTGTCCAGACTGCCACAATCAGCAATGTGTCGCAAATGTCAAGCATGTTTCATGCAAGGGGACAGTTGTGGCACCTGGATGCAGTGGGCCGCTGACCTTCACAAGGCAGCAACAATATCCTGGGCAAATCTGTGGTCTGACTGTTGGACTTAAACTCATCTGTGACTCAACAAAAACTCTTGTCTGTAAATGAGAGAAATCTAACATATCTACCTACAGAAGAGCGTCTGCGTAAAGAGCAGGCTTCAGAAAAAGCTACAGTTTTGGCAAGATGTGCAGCCAGTTAGTAAAACTCTTTTATGTTACTGATTAGACAATGGTATATGATAGTGTGCTTCCATATTTGTGGCTACAGTTTGGGGAAGACCCTTTTTCAACATGATAACACCCTTGTGCATAAAGTAAGGTTCACGAAGAAATTGTTTCCTAAGTTTGGTGTGGAAGAACTTGACTGGCCTACACAGAGCCCTGACCTCAGGCCCATCCAACACCTCTGGGATGCTGGAACTGCGAGCTAAAGCTTCTTGCCCAACATCAGTGGACAGCCTCACTATGCACATGCTCTTGTGGCTGTGTGGCTGAATGGGGCCAGATCCCTGCAGCCAGGTTCCAAAATCTTGTGGACAGCTTTTAAATTCATCATCTCTGTCTCCTTAGAGATTTTCACGATAGGGGGCAATGCCTTTGGAGGTGCTTGTCAGTTCCCATTTAAGTTTATGGAGAAGTGGTACGCTGAGTGCACAAAGGATGGTCGCACAGATGGACAGCTGTGGTGTGCAACAGAGAGAGATTACGATAAAGACAGGAAGTGGGGCTTTTGTCCCAACAAAGGTAAGTGCAAGAAACATATTATTTCAACCATTTCATGTTTCTATTAATCAGTATGATCAAACCATGCTGAATTAACTTGTTTGTCTTGTAATTAGCCATCAATGAAGAGGTCAGTGCTGACAGGTCTGGTTTCTGACCTCCCTCCTCTCCCCCAGCAGAACAACACTATCATTTCCTCTCATGAGTTGTCAACACAGCACTGTCCTTCTTTTCCTCTTCTCACAGGCCTGTCTTTCCCCTGACAATGCCCTAAAACTGGGGCAGGAAAAGAACAGAAAAAGAAAGAGAGCTCAATTTTTCTATAGTTTTTTATAAACACAACAATTATTTCACATCATTTAATCACCATTATGCTTAAAATCCATTCAAGGCAAAATATATCACATGACCTTTACTTAATGAAGTTGTTTAAAAATTTTAGTACTTTGTGTCTCTACTATAATGCAGCATCCTCAGGTTGGGACACTGACCCGGTCACAGGGGTTCAGTATCAGAGGAACACACAGTCAGTGTTGACCTGGCATCAGGCCAGGAAGAGCTGCCAGCAGCAGGGCGCTGACCTCCTCAGCATTGTAGAACTACATGAACAGTCATACATTTCAGGTACAAAGTCAGCCTTGTATGAGTCACCCATTCTACACAATATCATTTCATTAAACACGGATTGCATTATAATGTATGGGTTTACACAGGGTTGACAAATACTTTGGGAACATCTCTGTGGATTGGACTGAACAGCCTGGATTTTGAGAGTGGATGGCAGTGGAGCAATGGAAACCCATTCAGATATTTAAACTGGGCGCCAGGTTAGTGAAGACATTTAATACACTGTGACAGGAGTGGGACTTTACTATAAGTCGTGGCTTCACTTAAAGGGTAACTTTTTCAACAGGGACCGTATTTTCCCATGTTTTTGGGTCTATGTGATGAATGGAGAAAACCTTATCTGAGATTGGTCCAGTATTGAGCAAGTGCTGCAGTTGGCAGCAGCGAAACAGGACTGCAATGTAATCCATGGGGACAATTGCACACCATCAAATGACATCAACTAAAGTGCTTGTTTTTGCCACTGACAGGCTCAGATTCAGTGTCTTGCAACATTATGGAAATGATTTTACTTCTTTGGTCTACCGGTGTGTTGATCAGTTGGCTTGTTTGTGTTATTGTGTACCTGGTGTCTTTGACCCTTTAAATCACCAAAGTCACACAATAACACA